AATATAAGCAAACACACCTCTAGATATGTATATATAAACAGACACAAAGCTAAAAATATATAAATGCTATTATTTCTGTAAGATAAATACCTAAGGTTGGAATTTCTGGATCAAAGTATATTATAGATTTTAAAACTTTAGAAATACTGACAAATTACTTCAAAAGATGATACCATTTTATACTTTTACCACCAACAGTAACATTCATTTCTCCAGCACAGGATAGGAACAATAGTCAAATTTTGATGAAATTTAAGAACACAAACTATTATCTGATTATTTTAATTTATACTTCGAAAAGTAGAGTCATATATTTTTGGTTATTTATAGCCATTCTTCTGTTGTCTGTCATACACGTTGCCCAAAATTTCTAATGAGCTTTTACTTTCTTCTTGTTATAAAGTAGACAGTTTCCCCAAACCTCCTATCTTTTGTAGGTTTAACAGTTACTATCCTCCAGTCTTGAGAAGGGTATCATGTTTAAGTGGAGGATCAGAGAAGAAGAGGAACACCCCCAATAAGATGGCAGAAGTGATGGGCTCAGGTATAGGTAGCAAGGATTGTGAGGTTGGCCCAGGACCGGGCAGTGTTTCATTCTGTTGTATATAGGGTCGCTATGAGTTGGTACCAACTTGATGGCACCTAATAAGAACAACAACTTCTAGTCTATTGCTTGCTAGTCAGCTATCTGCCTCTAACTTTATTTATAGTGTCATCTAGATATAAACCTTTTTTTTATTTTTATCTAGATTAAGTGTGTCAAAGTTTCCCTTATGACTTCTGGTCTCCCTATCATCTTAAGAAAGCTTTCCAGAAGTAATAAAAAAAAAAAAAAGCATTTTCCCCATACTTTCTTCAAATGCCTTAACAGTTACAATTTTCACATTAAGTTTGTGAATTCAGTGGGAATTTATTACTGATTATGGTATGAGATAATGTTGCTGTTGCTAGGCTCCATCAAGTCAGTTCTGACTCATAGCGACCCTGTATAGGCTTTTCAAGGAGGGACTGGTGAGCTTGAACCTTGCAGTTCAAACTGACTTTGCAGTCTAGCACATTAGCCCATAGTGCCTCTAATATTAATTTCTTCTAAATGTAATGGTATTTTTTCCTAATATCATTTATTGAATAACGCATTTTTCCTCATCAATCTGAATGAATAATTGTTATATAATTAAATGCATGTATTTTGACCTGTTTCTGGGTACATCATTCTTTTCTACAGGTCTAATCTACTTATGGAGTTCTGGCGTGGCACTGCTGGATAAAGCACGGGACTGCAAGGCCAGTTTTAACTGCAAGTTTGGCCATTCAAATTCTCCAACTACTCCTTTGTTGTTGTTGTTGTTAAGTGCCATCGAGTCGGTTCCGACCCATAGCGACCAACTACTCCTAGGAAACCCTATATAGGGTCACTATGAGTTGGGCCCAACTTGGTGGTACTGAAAAACAACAACCTACTTACCCTATTTTAGAACTATCAGCTACTAAAAGCAAGAACCAAATTAAAAGATATTGTTGTTAAGGGCTGACTTAACATCATCACGTAAGTAAATTCAGAGCTGTAGTCCAATTAAAACAATATTCATAATCTGCACTGAACTGTCATACAGAAAAGCTTCACAGTACAAAATTTAAATGACAGACAACACTTTGGGGAGTACTTGTCTCCTGATCGCAATGTGCCACTTTTTCATGAGTCGTGTAGGGTTAGAAGACGGGAGAGGAAGAGCACTACAGAGTAGTGTCATGGCAGTAGAAAAAAAAAAGCCTAGGAGTCATGGCTTGGCCTGGGGCTAGGGAGACTGCAGAAACAAAGATAACTGGAAGCCAAGAAAGGGAAAGGTTCTGAAAGCCTTTGCCTAAATATGAGGGGGCTTTCACTGCAGAAAAATTCCATTGTTTTTTTAATTCCACATACTTCTTGATGCTCCCTCGTATATTCATTGCCAATTACTATGGAGTTTGAGAGAAATATCAGTGCAGGCCTGAGAAAAAGCATGATAACATCCAAAGGCTGAGATATTCAAATCCAGAAAACAAACTTTACAGGGTCACTAGGAGTCAGGATCAACTTTTTGAGACAATAACAACATACAGTTAAAAAAAAACAAAAAACAGGAAGGATAGCCACCACAATGATGAATCCAAGAGTTAAACTGAGAAAACAGCCATCAGATAATGAGATGGCATATTTTTATAGAGAATAAATTTGAAAATGTTGTTAAGTGCCATCGAGCTTGTAGTATAAGCAGTCCAGTGCTTATCCTAGAGTACCATACCAAGAAACTGTATATTAATATTGCTGACAACACAGACTATATTGTCAGACAGAGAGAGGTCTCAATTACAACTCTGGTATTTATTTATTATCTAATGTCACTTAACATTATTTGTCCTGTTCTCTATGTCTTGGAATGTTTAAAAGCATCAAGCGGGTTTTACTGTTGATGTTGCTAAGTGACCCTGTATAGAGTTTCCAAGGAGTGGCTGGTGGGTCTGAAACACCGATTTTCTGGTTAGCAGTCCAGTTGTTTATTCTAAAGAACCAAACTTTAGATAATCTATATCAGGGGTGGGGAAACTTATTTTGCAAAGGGCCATTTGAATATTTATAATATCATTCACGGGCCATGCAAAATTTTCAACTTAAAAATCAGCCTGCTATATTTGGATGGCTGGAACCACAGTTGCCTGGGCAGGACCAGACCAAATGATTTCCAGCTTCTTATACAGTCCGTGGGCCCGGCATTAACCACTCCTGATGTGAAAAAACACCAATGACATACGACTATAGGTGCAAAAATTAAAAAATAAAGTGACCTACATATAAATGAGCTTAGAAATTAATCCTGAAAATTAATTTCTTAAAATCCCTAGCATTGGGTCACTTTTTAATTAATAAACATTTTTTAATCTATGAAACAGGGAGTTCTAATTATTTTGTTTTAGTTGTTGTTGTTTAGATGTCAGTTCTCACCCATAGCTACTTCATACACAACAGAACCAAACACTGCTTAGTCCTGTGTCAATCTCACAACCATTGCTAGCTTTGAGACCACTGCAATCATTTCACCAATCCACCTCACTGAGGGCCTTCCTCTTTTGCTGACCTTCTACTTTACCAAGCATGACTCAAATGCAGAAATTCTTCTTTGGTCTTCCTTATACACTGTCCACCTTTCACATATGTAAGTAATTGAAAAACGTCACCTTAGTTCACAAAGTGACAACTTTTCTTCTTAACACTTAAAAAAGTCTTTTGTCCAACACAATGCATCATTTGATTTCCAGACAGCTGTTTCCATAGTCATTGACTATGTATCCCAGTAAAATGGAATTCTAGACAGCTTCAATAGTTCTTCCATTTACCATGATTCTGCTTACTGATCCAGTTGGGAGACTTTTGTTTTATTTATGTTACGGTGCAATCCATATTGAAGGTTTCAGTGTTTAACCTACATCAATAAGTGATTCAAGTCCTTTGCACTTTGAATTCAAGAATTAAACTGTACTGTATTTCTAAATCTTTCTGTCTTTAAAGAAATTGAGAATCCTGATCTTGCTCTGACAAACATCCTCTCAAAGCTTAAGGTTGTTAAGAATTGGTGCAGGCCTGAACTAAGACTATGCTGAAGCTGAGAATGGCTTAAGACTTGGGCAGATGTTGGAGTGGATACTGTCAAGCCTTGCTGTGTGAGAAAAGATACTTTCAGACTTTTAGCTTAAGTGATTGGGTTTATGACACCACCATTTACCAAGAATGCCAGAATATATTAATTGCTGAAATAATGTGATAGGTATATGGCAGTTTTGCATATTGTTGCTGTTGTTGTTAGGTGGTATCAAGTCGGTACCGACT